AGTATATTGAAGATCTCCTTTTATGCAGGGGTATAAATTAAAATCTCCACCCAAAGCACGTCTAAGTTAATGGAAGTCATTAGAGTACCTGGGGTTTAGCAGAAGCTTCTAGGTTAAAGGTCAGATTTGGTATTCACTTATCTGATTGAATCCCTGTCTCCATTTTGTTTTTACTTTTGGAGAACACTTCTCTTTTTGGAAATTCAGCACTATATTTTAAAACAGTGATTTCTTAAAAAGCTGTGCCCAGTGATATAATTGTTCCAGTTGCAATCATCATTGAAAGTATATTGGCCACTATACAGGAAGAAAAGGCAATCCTTCAAATTTCTTTACTTATCTTTACATTTGTCCTGGAAATCTTTCAATGCATGTATAGATGGACCATGATCTTTCTAATGACTACCCAAATTCAAATTCAAATTCACTGCCGTTGAGTCGGCTCCAACTCATAGCGACCCCTCCTTGGGTACTTAAATGGATAAACCCAAAACCAGAGCCATTGCTATCAAGTCAATACTGCTCATAACAACCCTTTAAGACAGAAGTAGAGTGCATAAGCTATTTCTGGTTCCAATTTTTTAAGGAAGCACCATATTATTTTCCATAATGGTTGCACCATTTTACAGCCCCACAAACAATGTATTAGAGCTTCAGTGTCTCCAAAGCCTCACCAGCATTTGTTTTCTGTTTTGTTGAACTTTGCTATTAATGCTGGGATGAAATGGGATCTCATTATTTTGATTTGCATCTGTCTAATGGCTAATGGACCTCTGGTGGCACAGTGGTTAAAGCTTTGAGCTACTAGCCAAAGTTGGCAGTTCGAACCCACCAGCTGCTCCACAGGAAGAAGATGAGGCACTCTACTTCTGTAAAGATTCATGGCCTTGGAAACCCAGTGGAGGTTGCAATGAGTTGGAATTGACTCATTGGCAATGAGTCTTTTATTTTTGGAATGGCTAATGATCATGAGCATTTCTTCATATGTTTGTTGGCTACCTTAATGTCTTCTTTGGTGAAGTGTCTGTTTACGACCTCTGCTAATTTGTTAATTAGATTGTTTGTCCTTTTGCTGTTGAAGTGTTGAAGTTATCTATAAATTTGGAGATTAGTCCCTTTTCTGACATGTCATTGCCAATTTTTTTTTCTCAGTCTATATATTTTCTTTTTACTC